TCTTCTTGGATATTTCCCTTTTGAGAGAGTTCGATGGACTATTATATAAAGTTAAAATGAACCTTTCTTCTTGCTTCTTTAACATCTTAAAATCTTACCTTGAAGATCGACATTTCCTAATCAGCCACGGGGAAATTTCAACTGGAATCCAATATGTGCCCCACGATAGCATCCTGGAACTTCTCTATCTATTGTATATCTATGACCTACCTACTGATCAGGCAGACTGTCATTACTGAAACTTTTGCTGATGGTATATAGTAGTTCTAGCATCACAGACTCCAAAAAACCTCTCAGATACTGCAAAATAGTCTTAATAAAGTAGCCTTATGGATGACTGACTGGAGAATTAAAGCTAATGAAACCAAATCTGTGCATGTTATCTTTTCAATGAGACACGAAACTTATTCACATCAAACTAAATAACGTTAAATGCCTCAATCAAATGTTAGATATCTTGATTTATATTTGAACAGACGATTGGGCTGAAATATTTATTTAAAAAAAAAACAATTCAATATCAAAAAATGTATATTGGATGTTAAACCACAAGTCTTGTTAATAAGCTTTTGCTGTATAAGCTATCCTAAAATCTATCTTGATACGGTATACAGCTCTGAGATACTTCTCATTCTAATATCCAAATCATACAGGGATTTCAATCAAAAATATTGCGTATTATAACTGATGCTCCATAGTTCATCTCCAATGAAACAATACACCAAGACTTAAATATACCCTTCGTTAAAGAAGAAAAATATCCTCATATATTAAAGCTTATAGAAATAGGCTGAGTAATGATTCTAATATATGAATAAATCGTCTTATGGCTAGAGGACATCTAAACCGAAAACTCAAAAGAAAAACTCCTAATGACTTTATAACTCATAACACATAATACTATTGAATAATAGTTTGCTGGAAGTGTGTCATTGGATGCATTTCATTTAAGTTTTATATAACTGTTTAACATATTTGTTCCGGAATCATCGTTATTTCGTTATTTTACCTCTTTTATTTTTGTTTGTACCTTAAAGGATCCGGAAATACTGCGATTTCAAAATTTCGAAAATGCGCCAAGAGGGGAAGCCATTTTTAAAGAACATCGAAATGGGATCGGCATTCGAAACAGACTCGTTTGTAACCGTTTGTATATTCCCCTCTCTTACTTTCGTTATCTCCGAATCGTTTGAGGTACAAAAAAGTAAGACAGGTACAAACGATTCTCTTTCGAGCATGAATGAAATTTAAAAAATCTTAAAGTTGCGCGCTGGCCATTTATTTTTCACTTTTTGTTTAACTGTTTGAGGTACAAACGAAATAATGATTGGTACAAACGAAGTACAAACGGCCTACGGTATTAATTTTTATTTTTGATAAAATTGAGCGTCAGGTTCACATCGGTACGAGCAGCCTTTTATAAAATGATATCAGCACAAACAATATTACTGAATGTCATGTACGTGCATATATATGTGTGCGCGTATGCGTGTGTGCGTGTAATATCAATGAAATGTCGCGGTAAAAGCATATATATCTAATATATGCTCAATCTTTTATTAATTATTTAAAAAGTGCAACATAGCTGGTTATTAAAACCTATTTTTTAATACATTATTTAAAGGATATTTTTCGCAAATTATAAATGTATTAAAAAAATATTTATTTAAGTGGCATTATATTATCTATATTCACATTATATACATGAAATTCTCCGTCTTCTACGTCTCCATACGTTTCAACTATTTCTTGACATATATAAAATACATTTTATTGCTCACACATAATAAAAACAATTATTATACACATATATTACATTACCATATAAGAACAGTTTAGCTTGTACAGGGCAAACTAGAACACCAATGGCATACACGTATACAGAGTGAATCAGAGTCGTTGAACCAACTTTTTGACCCTATGAGAAAATAATTCTGCACACATTATAATTCAATTAGACATGAAATCGATAATTTGTTTGCAGAGGATAAAAAGTTTAACAACTCTGATTCATCCTGTATACGTATATGTCATGGTGTTTCCTATACTAGTTTTATACTGTATTTACATTTAATAAGCATGTATACTACAATCCTGCTCTAATTGGGTAGTTCTCTCAATAGAAAACGCTATTAAGCCTCAGACACAATGCAAGGGAATAACAATAGCGAAATTACACAATTTCAATCTATTAGGAGCTATGTATTCTGGTTTCTGTTAGGTTGAAATCATGTTATTTTTATCGCTATTGCTTGCATCATGTCTGGGACTTTACTTTTCAATATCGAAAACATCTTTAGTTTCATAATTATTTTTGCAATTGAAAAAAATCATATTGGATCTGCCAATTTGAATTTTTTATCAAATTTAAATTTAATGCAAACCCAAAAATCTTTTGTGATAAATCAAGTATAAACTTGAAAATTCAAATATCAAATATATAAAGGATCTTCCAACTATTAAAATTTATTTTCTTCGAAAAAATGTATACTTACCTTCGTTGAATTCAAAATCATTGAGGACTTTGTCTAAGTCGATCATAAATTTCTCCATGATACAACAATGTGTTTTCAATCCTATTTTTGCTAAATAAATTTATCAACACTATCCAACTTTCATTAATCGTATATTTAATTCCATTAATTGATATCAATAACCTCCATGATCAAAATATGATTCTCGATATATAACCAGTATAATATAATTGGTATGATTCACGCTTCAACAATTAACGCATATTCCTGAAATCTGTTTTAACTTGCTTCTTAAGCAAGAGAAACAGATTACAATATTCTGCAAATGTAATATACGCGTAATTCAGATTCGTTCCATTCAACAATCGTCGAACTCGATTCTTGAGACATGACACTTAAAAAGTCTTGAAAAAAATTAAGCACGTCGCGATATTGAAATTAATCGGAATCACTTTCACTTTGTTTTTAAAATGACTTACAAAACGATATAACAATTATATCATATCCCATTTATACGCAGTCATTATTACATATCTTTTATCATATGACAAAGCTAGGGCCTAGGGCTGTAACCTGCGTTGACTGCTTTCAGATAGAGTACCTATAATAAGAGTGCGGCCAACAAGGTAATGATCGATGATTGGCTCGTCATATTAAGGCAAAAGCGGAAATTGCGTGCTCATGTATACTATCAGCAGTATGTATACAATGTATGTACATATGCTCTAGGCTGCGTTCGGAAATATTAATCGAATCCTTCCCCGCATATCGTTTCATTCTTGTTCACCCAATGTTAAACAAGGATAAGATGATACACGAGACACCAGAGGCCTTATTCTTGGGCTATTCCAAAATTTCCTCTCTGAGGAAAATTTTACTCGAAATATATAGTACACGTAACGTATACTATAGCATATAAAGTATAGCATATAAAATATTGAAAATCTTCCTCAGAGAATAAGTTTTGGAACATAGCCTTGAAAAGTATCGCATATGAAAAACTAGAGAAATGCTATAGTATATATAACGCATACTATAATATTTCCCTAGTTTTTTGTATGCGATATTATTCAAGAATAAGGCTTCCTAAGTAATATTTCCAAACGCAATCCTACGAGTATCAAATGCTCGGTGTAAGGGCTGCCGCACACAAAATTTCTGTGTGTAATAATAATGGCTTCCGCACACAGAACGCGACAATGCTCGCACTAACCAATAATTCTATGTTTTTAAGTCAGCCTCACCTTGCAAAATTTCTAGAAATGATGTAATATTACTTTCGCCGCGCGGCAAAAGTTAGACTGAATTCAACTTTTATCGCGCAGTGGAAATTATCTATTATTTTCGAGCTAACGAAACATTGATTGGCTATCGCGCCAACTATGATAGTAGTTATAGCCATAATCTTAATAGCTCTTGAGGTATGGTCAACGCGATGTTGCAAACGTTTTAAAGCGTCTTTTGGTCAGTTTGTAAAATTCTTTCTTCTAATTGGTCCATCAAACGCTTCAAAGCATTTGTAGCGAGACTTTGACCACAGCCGGATGAAATTCACCTTATTGCGAAGAAATGGATAAGTTTATTGTTATTTCCATTTCCATTAGATTACTTAGATCTAAGTATCCTGATTGATTCCCTAATTGCCTCTGACACGCCAGTGCGATATTTGTTATGCACAATACACGCGATGAGCTTTACCGATATTCTTATTCTAAAGGTATACTGTCATTGGATATTATTGCACGCGTTGCGCGCAATTAACATCGCGCTGGTGCGCAGACAAGACTGCCGCAGACAAAATTTCTGTAACAATAATCTTATGATACGTGAACTTAAGCTAATGAGCCAATCAAGATACTACTTTAGATCTAGTACTCTAATGAAAATAGAAATAGCATTAAATTTATCCAAAAAATTTATCCATTTTACCGGTTGAAATTCACCTTATTGCGAGTTATGGATAAGTTTATTGTTATTTCCATTTCTGTTAGATTACGTAATCTAAAACATCCTGATTGGCTCATCGATTTAACTTATCAGAAATCATGAATAATATAGAATGGATATAGACGCTTTTTAATAGGGTGCAATCTTTTATTCCCTGTTCCTATTGTGTCTGTGCTTTTTATTATGTTCCCAGCTGTACGGAATTTTGAGACAGGTTTGAAGACCGATGTTCACGATGCTAGAAATCGGTTCGAATTCTCGGACATAGAAAAAATTAACAATCACATTTGAACAATTTGTCACATGACCATTGCAATTGATTAATTTTTTCTTCAGCCGAGATTTCGGACTGATTTCTAGTATCGTGGACGCTTAAAAAAAGGAATCGATAATAGATTTTTTAACCTAAATGATTGTTGACTTTAACGAATAATGGCCTAGTTTCCACTGAGAATTTAATCCGGATTAGAATGTAAGAACCAACCAACTACAGTCGAGTATTCCCCTGTTACAATCGAATGACAGTTTCCTCGGTGAAAACTAAGCCAATATCTTGGTTTGCGAGGCAGAGCAACACTTTATTTGCTAGATTGTTTCGTTTCATGCAGAAATGCGTCGATAATTTCAATTTTATTGATTTTTGGGCTACGGAAGCTGAACTGTACAATTATCTTTTATTTATTTTTACGCTAAAACACATCGAATGAATATATTTTTATCAAAATTCAAGATGAAGAGGATATTCTTAATATCCTCGCGTATCAAATGTTCAATGTAAACTTGCTAGGCTAATAGCAAGCTTATACAATTGATATCTTGCTTTGCAGGGCAGACCGCCGCATTTTTCTACCGGGTTCTATTGTTTCGAATGAAAACGCATCGAATAAGTATATTTTTATCAAGTTTTATAATCCAAATAATTATCAAATACAATTATAGCGTATTAAAAATATTCAGCTGTGTACATGGATGCATTACAACTAAGAAATGTACATATCTTTAATATTACATTTATGTTTATTAAGATTTGATTGCTCGTCCATACTTAACCAATAATTTTATATTGTGTCTATACAATTTTTTGTTATAAATGATATATTAATCATGTTAAATATATGTTAACAAGAAATTTGTTTTCAGTAGTTTAAAGACTTTCTTTTGCTGTACAATCAAATATCTGAAATGTGTTTCAAAAAATGTACAAATACTTTCCTGTCTCGAGAAATTACTTCTGATGAAGTAAGTATTTTCATGAAAGTATATTGAATTGTATAATTGTATTGAACATAAAATTCAATTAACTGAAATTGTAGGAGCTCTGCATAAATAATTGTGTACAGAAATACATCTACACTAATCATAAAATAATGGAAATATTCATGGAAGTACAACCTAGAATGGTGCACAAAAGAATAAAGGAGATAAACATGGCTCAAACAGCAGCGTCAGAAGCACAAAATCAAGTCAAAGTGAAATAAAATTTATAATAATACATCTTTATTAGTTATATGCAATGTATTTTTTAATTTGTTAAATACTTTTAATTTATTTTGCATTATAAATAACGCTCTGTCAAAATATATATGAGTAATAATTTAAAAAGTGAAACAAAAGTTCTAAAATATGTCAGCAACATTTCTGAAACAGTTTGGAATAGTAAAATGTCCGTAATTCTTGCACATGAAACGTTATTGAAAGGATGCTGAAAAGTTACAAATAGATTCTTTTTGAAATATTATTAAAAAGTTACTTTGATTGAGAGGATTACAGTCAATATTTCAAAAAGGTTTTAGCTATTTCTACAAAAATAATTTTAGTATTAATAAAATCTGATAAATTTTAGAGAATTTTATTTTTTATATAAGGCCTCAAGAGGAATTCTCTTAAATTAAGAAGAAAATATTCTAAATATAATATTCTTACAGTTGAGTAATTTTATCTCGTATCTGCAATATAAATTTTGCTGTTTTTTTATAGTAATTTTCTCTTGCATATATAATATGTATATAATATTGTTTTGAGAGATTTATATAAACGATAAATCTCCGTTATAATGGTTTTATTGTTAAAATGAGATTAACTTAGCATTAAATGAGTTTTCTTAAAAAGTTCTCAAAAATGGTTTATTATTTATTTAATTTAAATTTATTATATGCAGAGGATTGCAAATAATTAAAAAATATTACAATAAATATTATGTATAAAATAGTGTTTTCATTGCAAAATTTTATATATATAGTATTTGGAATCTCATTAATATAATAAATAATTAATATAATAAATGTAAATAATATTTTTTAAATATGCTTAATAAAAGTAATTATGTAGGATAACAATAACATTTTATTTGTATAACATTACTATACTATTTTTAAATCTGAAATTGGATAATATCAATTTTCCATTTATATTTAAAGGAATCCTACTTATATACAACACTGAAAGTTTTCAGAAATAATTTAGAAATATTTCAATTGAAAAGTGAAACATTTCAGAAAAGTTGCGAAATACATCTGCAACATTTCTGAGACAGCTCTGGTATAACAAAATATCTGCGATTCTTACATATGAAACCTTATTGAAAGGTTGCTAAAATATTACAGAAAGAATCTACAATCTTGAAATATTACCAAAAACTTACGAAAATAGCTGAAATCTTTTTGAAATATTGTTGCCCATAATCTTCTCAAGTTAAATAAATTTATTAAGAATCTTGTGATTTATTTACAGATTACAAAACTTATATTGGAATAAACTTCAAGTATTTCTCAAAAATATTATTTAAATTTATTATATTTAAAGGATTGCAAGTAACTAAAACATTATAATAATATAATATTATGTATAAAATAGTATTTTCATTACATGATTTTATTTAATATTTATTTAATATTTGCAATCTTATTAATATAATAAATATAAATATGATTTCTGGAATATATTTAATAAAAATAATACATAATATTATATATAAGACATTTTATTTGCATAATATAATTTTTATTAGTATAACATTACTTTCTACATTATATAACATTATCTTATACTATTTTACATCGCATAACTTTAATACATATTACATTATATTACCTACATATTATATTCATTACCTAATTACAAAAAATAAATTTTTAAATGTTCGAATAATAAGTTTCCTTTCATGTTTAAAGTTTTGTATTTTTTTTTGTATTCTAACAAGGCTCTTAAGAATATTAATTTAATAATTGTGAAGTATCAAGCTATTCGAACCGCACTGGATGTTATTTGCGAAACTTTTATTAAATATAATAATAATTTATTAATATTAATATATACGTTTCGACCTTTTTAACTTGGTCATCTTATTCTAATTCATTCTATTAACATTATTTACATAGTATCATTATTGAAAACATCATCACAAGCTTCAAGTCATTTAAAAAATAGTTATCAATTGGTAGAAAAGTAAAAGATATAAAAATAAATAATAACTACAGATTAATATCTTTGGATGTGATTGTTTTATTCATAAATATATCTATTCAGCGATAAATAGTGTCATGAAAAGATGTAATTTATAAGAAAAAATACATCATTTCCTAAGAAGGAATTAGTAATTAGAATGATTATACAACGTTTTTCACGTTTAATAAACATTTATAAACAAATTTTTGATGTATCCATGATTCTCCACTATCACCTATAATAGTGGATTTGGTGATGCAAGATTTGGAAGGGATAGAACAATTATCATTCGGAATCCTATTTTATTTCAGGTATATATGGACGACATATTATTGGCCGCTCCTTCAACAAGATAAATCACATATTGGAAGTTTTCAACTCCTTAGATGAACATCTAAAGTTTACGATTAAAATAAAAAATAATAATCAATTAAACTCTTTGGATATAAAATTAATCAGAGAAGAACATTCAATTAAATTTGATTTATTCCTTAAAGCCATATTCTCAGGCAGATATCTTAACAATTGTGACTCGTCAAGGACAGATCATTTAACATTGATTGTTAATTATGTTTAACTTGCTGATGATGACTCCAAAAAAAATGAAAACTTTTAAGATTTCGGAATAAAGCTGCATATCTTTTATCAATTGGAAGTATTTTATTTTGCGCCTTTTCCCGCGACTCTCATTAGCTTTAATTTTATTGTTATGTATTATTGTAAAGTTTAAGAGTCCAATTTAAATTATATTTTGTTAATTACATTCACATCATCTGATTGAGTGTAAAAAAGGAATAATTTATAGAATAGTAGACAAAATTATTTTACTTGCACATCCAGATTATCACAAAAAAAACTTGAAAAATAGTATTAACATTTTATTAAATAATAACTATGCTAGATTTCATATTCAACATTAATGAAAGATTAATAAAAGAATAAAATATCATATATATGAAAATAACAATAATAAAAATGATAAATTCAATAACTGTAATAGAATTCATCCTCAAAGAAAAAAGTTTTTCATAATACTATTTGTAAAAGGTTTTTCTAGACAATTTTCAACAATAGCCGAAAAGTTTAATTTACAACTAAACTATCCCAAAAAAAAAACTAAACGCTTACATCACAACTGCAAAAGATAAATTGGCTAATATGTCAAAATGTGATGTAGTCTATAAGATCAGTTGTCGATATTGTGATGCCATGTATGTCAATCAGACAAAAAAGCAACTTCAAACTAGAATTCATTTTAAAAGATATTAATCAGAGGAGTGGATGTTTGTCGATAATATCTGATCATAGACTTACAAACAAACATGAATTTAAATAGGAAAGCGTAAAAATCTTAATAAACCATTATTATCTATATAAAGAGAATGGTATCTGAAATGATATATATAGGTGTGTGTGTGTGTGTGTGTGTGTGTGTGTGTGTGTGTGTGTGTGTGTG